AATGCATGACATACCTGGCGAGCTTAAGCAAGTAGATAACAGAACGTGGTGTTGGAGAAGTGGCCGAGGAAAGAAACTTATTGAGTGTTACAAGGGATAGGAGCAAGTGGAGAACCTTATTGATTGCTACAAGGAGAAGTTGGAGAGAGAAGAGACATGGCACATAAAAAGAAAGACGCTAATATAGTAAATTTACAGGCTGAATATGAAAAGAAAGAAAGAAAAAGGAACGAAATACAAGAAAAAAAATAAATAAAAATAACCCTGTCGACAAAAAATACGGCTAAATGTATTTTCATTCTTAATCTTTCTCGTACATTTTATGTATTTCCACGCTTCGCTATGTCTGCACGCATGCGCAGCTCTCACCAATCACCAATTCCGGGAAATCCTTTCCCATTCGGTCCCAAACCCGATTTTAGCTGTTATATTCTCCTTTTTACTGTACACCAGACCGGACAACTCGGCGGCAGGGCAAAGAGTGACGGCAGTGGAAGGGCTATTCTGGTTTATGTATGATGAATTAACTCCCTTGTTCATCACGACATCTACGATTGCGCCTGCGCTCTCTGTCATTTCTTTTTCCACGAGCCTACTGACTTGCGTGCTCCTTGCATCGCGACGCATTATTCATTTGGACGCCATGATTAATAAGCGAGCTTTTTCTCAACTTGACTTTGCTTATGTCTTTTAATATTGTATTTTTTAGCAGAGAGAGATGGAGAGAGAGAGAGAGAGAGAGAGAGAGAGAGAGAGAGAGAGAGAAAGAGGGGAATAGGAATAGACAGAATGAGGGGAGCGGAAGAGAAAGATATTACCAGAAATACATAAAGAGAATGAAAGAAAGACAAAAATAGTAACATGTACAGAGAGAGAGAGAGAGAGAGAGAGAGCGAGAAAGATACAGTGAGAGAGAGAGAGATAGTGAGAAAGAGACAGTGAGAGAGAGACAGTGAGAGAGAGAGACAGTGAGAGAGAGAGAGAGAGTAATAAATAAAGGTAAATGCATAAATAGATCGAAATGAGCAATCTGAATTAGATAGATATGAACAGAATGAGATAATGAACAAACTGAGATAGATATGAATCGAATGATATATATATATATATATATATATATATATATATATATATATATATATAGAGAGAGAGAGAGAGAGAGAGAGAGAGAGTGAGAGATAGAAAGAGAGCAAGAGACATGTACAAAGTGAGATCGCTCTCTCAATAGATATATAGATATGAGCCAAATGATGTAGATAGAGGGGGAGGGAAATAAAAATAAACTAAGATAGATAGATAGATAGATAGATAGATAGATAGATAGATAATGACAAGACGCAAAGCGATAATGAACAGACTGAAATAGATATTAACAGACTGAGATAGATAGATAGATAGATAACAGATAGATAGATATTAACAGACTGAAATAGATATTAACAGAATGAGATAGATAGATAGATAGATAGATAGATATTAACAGACTGAAATAGATAAACGAGAAGGAAGAGATTGGGCGAAAACTCATTAAAAAAAAGAGCGGGAAATAGTTCGAAATACATCATAATGAAAAGAAAAATGGAGTGTAGACCTGGTGTCTCGCTTCCAGTCATTTCCCCAACCAAAATCTATGCTTTTTCTATAAACATTTTTATGGTAATTTTCCTGATGAGCTTTCCTTAATGGTACCACAACTTCATAAATTTAGGCGTGGTATATTAGCTTAGCTGCGAACTTTTAACGTTTTACTGCTGAAATGGCTAGATATAAATCTAAGTTGTATTCTAATAGTATCTTCTCTTGCACTTCTCTCTTGTGGAACTTATTTTTGGCTTCTCGTCAACGACGTTCTCCAAAAATTTAAATGCAACGTCAATCGTCATCTTCTGTCTGCTTACATCCTGTTCTTTTCTTGCCCTTTCTCTTCAACAAGGTTTTCTTAGTTTCTTTCAGACACTTGATTAGTTTTAGCGTTTTACTTGTAATGAAATGTAATAGTGCGCATGCTCTTCAGATGAATCATAAATAATTTCCGTTTCTGTTTATCAAATTTATTCTTTAAAACATAAAGTACAATATTTGCAATATTTAAATTATTGGGACTGTTGTCCTCATCTTCATTGCCATATTCACGACATTTCGACCGTTGTACGCCCCGGCCTTCTTTGGGATCGGTCTATATTTCTGAGATGAGGTATTATAACTATTTACACTGTTTACATTGTTCGGACTGTTGTCCTCATCTTCATTGCCATATTTACGACATTTCGGCCGTTGTACTCCCCGGCCTTCTTTGGGATCACTCTATATTTCTGAGATGGGGTATTATAACTATTTACACTGTTTACATTGTTCGGAATTTAAGCATGCTACTAAGGTTGGCATCTCGGTCCCACCCTTTCACTGTTGAAAGAGTTAAATGTAACTGCCTCGTCTACTCCAACAGCTTCTTCTCCCGCACTTCCCGACAGTAGAACTCTCTTCCACTTGCTTGCTACCCTGATGGCTATAATCTTCAAATAATCAAATGTAATGTCAATCGACGTTTTCTGATGGCTTGATCTTCATCCCCGTCCTTCTCTTTATCCTTTCCTCAAAATACCCGTCTTTAACTCTTACTCTCACTCTCTGCGACCCCCTTGCGTGCTAGTGGCACCCACACTTTGCTTGAAATACTTAAAACAAAAGATAAAGTACAATTATATTTAATTTAATTAGATGGTTATATAAATCCGTTTTTTAATATTTTCTTTTTATATTTATTTATTTTTATTAATAGTTCTGATGAATCATCCAACAATTTATTCCCCTTCCTTGTTTAGGAACTTCTGCCAAAAATCAACTAACTATTCAATGCCTCGACGATTGAAATCATTAGGTTTTGACTCGAAAAATTCATCAAGACAGGTTTTAAGCTCAACATCGTTGTAGAACGAAACACCCCTCAGATTGAATCGCCTCTTTGTGTCTGTTCAGTATAGAGCTTTGAATTTCCCGTTTGGTTGTTTTGAAAGACTTCATAAAAAATTAGTCCTTACTAATCCCACTAAACGCAGATCAGTCACTTGCGTGGATTTAGCTCTGGATTGGTTCGGGGTGCTTCACCTATCTGTAGGGATCGGGAGAGATAGTAAAATTACAAGCATTACTAATATACAAAGGATAGGATGTTGTGGAGAGACATGATCACCTATTTAACGAGATTGTGTAAATGAATGCGTGAATAGGGATAGTAAAAGGACAAGCTCGTTAGATAGGTGATTATGGGTCTCCACAACATCCTATCCTTTCTAGCTAAGTGATGCTTGTCCTTTTATTATCCCTATTCACCCATTTACACAAGCTCGTTAGATAGGTGAACATGGCTCTCCACAACATCCGATCCTTTGTAGCTTAGTCATGCTTGTCCTTTTACTATTTCTCCCGATCCCTATTCATTTACACAAGCTCGCTAGATAAGTGATCATGGCTCTCCACAACATCCTATCCTTTCTAGTTAAGTGATGCTTGTCCTTTTACTATCCCTATTCACCCATTTACACAAGCTCGTTAGATAGGTGATCATGGCTCTGCGTCGTAACATAAAGGAAAATGACATCGAAGAGTCGGTGACTTGGACTTGTTAGTACAGTAAGCTATTAAATCCTCAAATACTTTTTTCGAAAAATACCGATCTAATTATAGGGTGCGTCACATTAAAACCTTTTCTTCATTATCGAAACCTATATATAATATATGATAAAAATATATATATATATATATATATATATATATATATATATATATATATTCCCTTTCATTGTTTACGACCTCCTGCAAACAATCCCCTAACTGTTTAATCACGACGTTTAGAATTGATAAATTCATCAAGCCACGTTTTAAGCTCAACGTTGTTGTTGAACGAAACATCCCTTAAATTGATAGAGGGCTACCTAAAACGTAGTGGTCTGAAGGGGCTATATCAGGAGAATATGGTATGTGTGGCAGAACTACCCAACCTAGCTTTTTGTTTGCATCCAGGAGTAACCTGGTGTCGAGTAAGTAACCTGCGGCATTGGAGTAACGCCGTAGTTGTTTCTATCGATCAGTGTTTTGGGACCTTACTCCTTGAGTGCAGATGACGCTTTTCCAGATTTAGCCTTGTCAATCTGTTGACCTTTGCTTTGAACATTGTCGTATGCAAACCACTTTTCATCACCTGTCATAATATATTCAAGAAACGTTTAGTTAGCATGATAAATTCAAGATTATAATTGATCACCAAAAACGGAAATTATTTATGAATCAAATGGAGTTTCATACTAAATATATCGCTGAGATTTTCGTTAGGTATTTATTCAATGGCTGCAGTTAAGTTTCTATCTTTGCCTCAGAGGCGGCATTTTATTTGTAAATAGCGTCAAAAATGAAACCTTAGTCATTGCCTTGAATGGTAATGGACGATATCAATAGTAATGTCGAAAGATTAAAAAAAAAAGAATTTCAGTATTATAAATATAGAAAATATATATTTGCATCTAGATCAAAGAAACTCTAGTCGACAATCTATCAATGTTTACTGAGCCGAATTACCATCACACCTTAGGCTGATATTAATATAATTCTGGAACAGGATCCTTGTAAGGTCGCCGATATATAAAACAGGAAAAAAATAAAAAAATAAACAACAAAAAAATCAATAAATAAAAACATAGTTACCGCTTCTTCCCCCGAGAAGCGCGGGTCCAGTGTCTATGAGGTTTGGGTTGTATCGTAACGGTCCGAGTTCGATTCTTGGTAGTGGATGCGCACTGCTGTTGTGTCCTAAAATGGGACGAAACGGCCATCCAGTGTTTTCTGCAATCTGTTGAGATTCTTATAGACTCGATGATTTACTTTAAAATATATTTATTTATTAATTGTATTTAACTTGAAAATATCTTTTTCTCCTTAATTTCTTATGAGTTACAAACTAAAGATGATTAAATTATACCAAACGATTCTATACTCTCTCACACTCTAACAGGCTTATTACACCGGTGCTGTAAGATCACAGAAGTTAAGCAATTTCGAGCCTGGCCAGTATCTAGTTGGGCGACCGCTTGGGAATACCAGGAGCTGTTAGCAAGGGTGTGCAGTTGGTTAAGACGATTTTTTTTTTCTGAATATACTAGTGTTATTCAGAAAAAAACTCGTCTTAACCGTAGTACCTTGTCTGTCGTTTTTAATGAAACATGCATAAACGAAGGATTGCTGCCTAAATATACAACTATCAAATTGCATGACCCGGCGGCGAACAAGGAAAATAACACAACTACATTCAGAAAATGCATCGTCTTACTCGTAGTACAGTCTGTCGCTTTTAATGAAACATGCATATATATTTCATAATGTGTGACGTCATTTGTTTACATTTGATACGCCATGAGCAGATATGAATGTACGCGAGAGATTCATAGAAGATTGAAGTTCAAATACAGTAACTTCGACCTTGCTAACCGAACGCGCCTCTGTGGCCAAATCGGTTAAAGGCACGTCAAGCTAAATGACGGTTCCGTATAGGATACAGGTTCGAATCCTGTCGGAGGACGAACATTTTCAGGCCGGTAAATGTTGTTTAATACTGTTACTCTATATACATGCACTCAACGCATACATTCAGTTAAAAAGTAAAAATAAAATCATTTTTGATAAAGTGCTCGGTATTAGAGAACATTTGGACAGTTTCTACGCACTCTGTGTCCAGGAAAGAAATCACTTGTTCGAACAATAGAAAAATTGAATAAAAAGCTTAATCGCGGTACATTCTCTGACGCCTTTAATGAAACATGTATAAATGAAAGATCGTTGTCTAGATACACAATATATATATATATATATATATATATAATTATTTATTTAAAAATATGATTCCAACAGGCTACATATATATATATATATATATATATATATATATAATTATTTATTTAAAAATATGATTCCAACAGGCTACATAAGAGGTATCATATTTCAAAACAAGAGCCGAAAACTTTATGCTCTACTTTTGTATTGTGCACTATTTTTAAAAATAATAACAAAAATACTAAAGAACTTTGGATTATTTACCTAACGAGTTCTTTCCTATTTTATATATATTTTGCACACACACACACACACACACACACACACACACACACACACACACACACACACACACACACATATATATATATATATATAAAATATTTCTTTCTTTATATATATTATATATATATATATATATATATATATATATATATATATATATATATATATAAAGAAAGCAAGAAATATTTTTTTTGGAGAATAAGGCGTAAAAGCGTTTTGTGTAATCTTCGGGGGTTAAGGACTCACGTAAATCGTTTTCTCTTTTTGATTTAATCACTTAAAATATCCATCAAGAACTGAAATTCAGCTAAATTACTCGTTCATTAAATTTGCCGCCATAACCAATGATTGAAGAGTTCGTGTTTTTTAACTTAATATTTTTTTTACAGAATTTAATTTACATCGGAAATTGAAAATAATAAAAAAAAATTTCCATGGCGCTTTTAAGCAATTATTTTATTATTATTATTATTATTATTATTATTATTATTATTATTATTATTCTCTCTGAAGCTTTTAACTTTCCTGTTATGGCTCAACCCAGAATGCCAACGTTGCCGATCCATCAGGAGACAAAATACAGTAATACAAGATTAAAATAACTTCGTTATGTTCGTAGCAGGATACAATTCATTCTTTGACATATTGTTCAACTCTCCGGTCACTTCTATTAGCCTCTCATTAAGGAGCAAACGCTTAACCCTACGAGAGTGCATCACTGATTCACACGCTGTCAGCAACCAATCCCCTCTTCAGATGGATTACATTGTCAGTACCACTGAATGAAGTGATGTCAGCGACTCTTGTTAAGAAGATGGTAATGGCGGATGGCATTCGAATAGGCGTCCTGATTTGATCATTCGACCATAAGTAGGTGCCGTGTGCAAACAGTTCTTGGCGGGAAGGTCACGTAATGTAAATAAGGCAAGGATATGCAGCTGTATTTGATGTTGGAATAATTGGGTTACGTTTGAAATATACGTCATGGACCCAGGGATAATGAAATATGAACTAAACGCTATTATAAGCTGGCGTCTGCTCACAAGGCGACGAGTAAAAGTGTAAATGTTATGATACAATGAGTTTGAGAAAACGTTTTAAAACCTGCGGTGTAAAAGATTGAATGGTCATATGATCTCATCCGAATACACGTTAAGCTCAACCAAATACTGTTGTCGAGGTATGTGAACTTTTGGATAGTAAGGGTGATAAAATTGTGTGTAACAGGCAGAAAAATTACATGTACCACTGTAATTCAGGATGGACGGCCAACAGAAATGTGTGTGTAGATATTTACTTGTAGGCATTAAATGAATGGAAACAATTGTGTACGCCAGATGAGTAAAAATGACACAATTCCTTTTTCTGGCGTAGACGTTTTTACCGAAACTATTTTTTTTCAGACACAGACGAATAAACACGTCAAAAACAAAATAACAAAACTAAACAAAACAAAACAAAAACAAAACATAACATTCAAAAACAAGCTATAGACGTGTTTATACGTCGATCTTGATTCTTTTTATGTACTTCTGCGGTTGAAACGATTCAAATTGTCAACTGATACGTCTGGGGAAGGTGTTAGCCACCACTCGAGTCATTCCAAAATATCTCAGGTTTTTAGTTACTGTATTAAAACCAAATAAAAAATCGTCCGAAAATGAAAAGTTTTTTTTTTTCAAAATAATTGGCGGGGAAGTGATTAAATTTTATTATTCATTTTTATTTATATCCATTTTTTTGCCTATAAAACTAATCGCTTTATTTACTTTTTTTCATGCATCTATCTTCATTCGACAGACAACCGTTTGTTGTTGCTTGAAAAAAATCCTTCGTCCTCAGTTTTTTTTTCTAAATAAGAATATCATGAATTTTATGTACAGATTTCGATGTGTCCGAATATCAATGCAAACTCTTTGAACCATGTTTCCTGCGTAGACGTGTATATACGTTTTCACATAAAGTGTATTTTCATCACGTTCAAAAACCAGCTACAGACAGCGTTTATACGAAGATCTTGATTCTTTTCCTGTCCCTGTGAGCTTGAAACACGTCAATTTGTCGGATCATACGTCTGGTAGAGGTGTTAGTCACCGCTCAGGTAATTCAAAAGTGACTCAGTTTTTTTAGTTACTATATTAAAACCGAATAAAAAATCTATTTAATATGAAACATTTTTTCCAAAATAATTATTTACATTTATTTTGCGTGTTGTAGATTATAACTATAAAGAAAAGAGTGAAATAAAACAAATTTAAATTATATTTAAATTTAATATATATTTATAACAGTATGATAATCCTCGAAGAAGTTCATGCACAATAGCTGCGTGTTCTTTGCAACAATTTGTATTCATTTTCGCATCTTTTTACTTCGTGAAACAAGTCTGTACAACATATAGCATTGTCTTTGTTTCTCCCAGGTTTTATTAGCAGAAAATAATGCAATCACGTGAAACTTAGTGTTGCCATTTAGTTATTTAAAAATTTAATCTGGAAAAATCGATAATATACATTTAAATATTGACAAAACAAAACTGTCAAAACCTCAGCAGGATCATTATCAATAACTGTGTCAAATTTGGTTGAAATCGGATGAAAAATGTAGGAGATTCGATCAAACAAATAAACGAACACACACGCACCCATTCTGCCTTTTATGTATGTATAGATGTTTGAATTTTTTCTGTCCACCCTTGTACGGTGGAAACGGTTACACGAACGTGCAGTCCAAGTGGGTGAAAAGGAAAAACAAAATCATTTTTAAAGGGTAGTTCTTATTCCTCAATTATAGGGGAAGGAAAACTTTCAAAAGCAAAATTTAATATTTTTAATCCTATGATAATCCTTTTAATCCTATGATAATCCTTTTAATCCTATGATAATCCTTTTAATCCTATGATTATCCTTGAAGCATTCCATGCATAATGAAGTTGTGCATTCTTTGCAACAAGTTGTCATCATTTTTCTTTTCTCTTCTTGAAAAATGTAAGTATAGCACTGTCTTTGGATTTCTTCAGTTTTATTTGCATGAAATAATGTAATCTCGTGAAACTTAGTGTTGCCAATTAGTCATTTAGAATCTAATCAGGAATGTATGATGGCCTTACCTTTGAAAAATATTTTAAACCGTTAATTGATGATATCCGCTGATCTCCCATGAAATATCAAATGCTCGCCATTTAAGTATGAAGGTGGAAATAGGTATTTTGGGAATTCCTGGAATAAAAACTATAAAATAAAACTGATGAAAGCTGAAGAATATATTGGTTGTAGTCTTACGACCAAAACAATAAGAATTCAGATTCTTCTCAAAGTAATTTCGTAGATTTATGATTTTTGCCTCTTTTCCAAAATTCGCGCAAAAATTAAACTTTCTTTTATCTAAACACTTTCTTTTAATATTTACTCGGAAAATGCCAAAGAACAAATGTATGCATCGACTCTCATTAAATGTGAAGACTTCGTAAGTTCAAGCGCCGAGTACTTTGCGATAACAAAAACGATTTGTTTCCAATAGTTGAAGAGATAAGAACGTAAGATTATGTCGATCGATTTGAATATATTTTCTATAGGCTGGTATAAAAAAAAAAAAAAAAATTGGGGGTTATCAGCCAGCTTTTAAACAAAGGCTTTGATCAAATGATGCATTTGATAGTTAATTATCTGTGGCTGTCGAATGGTATCTGGTTTAGTTTGCAGTTCAATAGAGTGACTTCTGCATAAAGATCGGAATGCAAAACGAAGTTCCATTTATAGACAAATATAAAATCCCAAAAATGTTTTTGTCCAGTTATTTTGAAGTCACAGATCAGAAAGGCTTTTGGAAATTTAGAGTCAGAAAAAAAAAAAAAAAAAAGAAGAATTCCCAGCATGCAATCGTAAAAAAATTAATTCACTTCTTTATATATTTCTTATAATTACAGGCTTTGATTAAATGACGCAATTGATAGTTAATTATCTGTTGCTATGTGTTTATGTGCACGTGGCCGAGTAGTT